TACTAGGGAGGCTAACACAGAAGAACTGCTTGAACCCGGGAGGCGGAGGTTGCAGTGAGCCGAGATCGCGCCACTGCATTCCAGCCTGGGCAACAGAGTGAGACTCCGTCTCAAAAAAAATAAAGAGCTAGGCATTCTTATCCCAGTTTTACAGACGAGGACGATCAAGCCGTTAAGTAATTTGTCAAACGTTACCGCAGGCGACAGGCGGGGACAAGGTCTGCGAAAACCCGCGAGGGCGTCGGGATCCCTCAGCCATAGGACAGTCAGCCGGGCCCGTGAACTGCCTGCTGCTGGGACTCCTGGCCCGCCGCGCGCCGCGGGGACACTGAACATGCGCCTCTCACCTTACGGAAGCCGGGAAGGAAGGGGGCGGGGCCGAGGCCGGCGGGCGCGGGGAAAATGGCGGCGGCAGCTGCAGCTGCGAACGGGACCGGAGGGAGCAGCGGGATGGAGGTGGATGCAGCAGGTAACGGGCCGTGTGGGGACGGCTTCCAAAGACCTCCTTCAGGGGTGCGTTGAGGCCTCCCTATGCCCCCAGGAGAAGGGCGGAGCAGCAACATCTTTCCCTGGGATAAGTTGCGGGAGGGAAGTGTGGCCCGGGCTCCATCGTCCCCCACTGCCATCTCCCGGGAAGGACGTGGGGCCCGGACTCTCACCCTCTCTCCTTTCCCTCCACCCTTAGTAGTCCCCAGCGTGATGGCCTCCGGAGTGACTGGGAGTGTTTCCGTCGCTCTCCATCCCCTTGTCATTCTCAACATCTCAGACCACTGGATCCGCATGCGCTCCCAGGAGGGGCGGCCTGTGCAGGGTGAGTGTTGGGCATAGCCTCCAGTCTCCTCTCCTTGCTCACCTCCCCTAGACAGTCGCCTCTTTCCCTTTTTTTTACTGGAACCAGTTCCCCCTCCCGCAAGTCATCGTTTCCCCAATACTTGGCTCCCACTGACCTCAGATCCTTAGGTGATAGAAGTTTCCTTACCCTCACCTTTTCTATGTCATTCTCTTTCCTAGTGATTGGGGCTCTGATTGGGAAGCAAGAGGGCCGAAATATCGAGGTGATGAACTCCTTTGAGCTGCTGTCCCACACAGTGGAAGAGAAGATTATCATTGACAAGGAATATTATTACACCAAGGAGGAGCAGTGTGAGCGGAATAGACGTGGGGAAGAGGAGTGGGAGTTAAAAAAAAATGTACAGGATGGGGAAGATGGAGAAGGTTGGAAATAAACAGGAGAGGCGGCCAAGAACAGAGGAGAAAAGGTTAAGAGAGTAGCTGGAGAGATCTCAGAAAAAGAACACATTCAGAGTTCTTTCTCAAAAAGAAAGTAAAGGATAAAAGAAGACAGGATAGAAGGGAGTAATTATTCTAAACTGAGCCAGGATTAGAGGAGCGGGGAGAGAAGCTGGTGAAAATACACCAGGAGCTTCCCATTGAGGAAAGATGGCTTAAAGTATTACTATGTCAGGCTGGGGACGGACGGTGGCTCACTCCTGTAATCCTAGCACTTTGGGAGACCCAGGCAGGCAGATCATGAGGTCAAAAGTTTGAGACTAGCCTGGCCAACATAGTGAAACCCTGTCTCTACTAAACATACAAAAATTAGCCGCATGTGGTGACATGCACCTGTAGTCCCAGCTACTCAGGAGGCTGAGGCAGGAGAATCGCTTGAACCTGGGAGGCAGAGGTTGTGGTGAGCCAAGATTGCGCCACTGCACTCCAGCCTGGGCAACAGAGCAACTCTGTCTCAAAAAAATAATAATAATTACAATGTGTTTTGGTCCCTTCCCCTTCAGTTAAACAGGTGTTCAAGGAGCTGGAATTTCTGGGTTGGTATACCACAGGGGGGCCGCCTGACCCCTCGGACATCCACGTCCACAAGCAGGTATACGTCTCACACCTGTGCATGCTGAAGCAGAGAATGGGGGATGAGGGGAAGGAGAAAGGGGGGCACTGACTTCCTGTGCATCGTCCCTCTCTTTCAGGTGTGTGAGATCATTGAGAGCCCCCTCTTTCTGAAGTTGAACCCTATGACCAAGCACACAGATGTGAGTAATATCCCATGCCTACTGTCATGAGTGTCTGTTGCTGTACCTTTTGTTGTGTGACACTGTATTGGGGAATGCCAAATACCACTTACCTGCTGTGACTCTGGCTTAGTCATTTAATCTCCAAACTGTGTGAAATGAGGTAATCCCTACTTCATTGGTTTCTAGGGAAAATTAGCTGAGAGGAAATGTATGAAAGCAACTAGCCCCAATGTTGGCAGATAGTATTCAGGTTTCTCCATCTCCTCCACAGCTTCCTGTCAGCGTTTTTGAGTCTGTCATTGATATAATCAACGGAGAGGTAAAACCGTACTCTTCAACTCTCAGATCCTTCTCTTGTCCCCTTTCCTGCTTTTCATTCTTCCTTTGTGGGTTACCTTGCCCTGTAGGCCACAATGCTGTTTGCTGAGCTGACCTACACTCTGGCCACAGAGGAAGCAGAACGCATTGGTGTAGACCATGTGGCCCGAATGACAGCAACGGGCAGTGGAGAGAACTCCACCGGTAATGGAGGGGATTCCTTGGAAGTGGGGGTGAATGTGTGGCCACATCCTGTCTCAACCTCCTCCTGTCCCCATCCCCTTGCAGTGGCCGAACACCTGATAGCACAGCACAGTGCCATCAAGATGCTGCACAGCCGCGTCAAGCTCATCTTGGAGTATGTCAAGGCCTCTGAAGCAGGTAGGTTAGGGGCTTCCCTGACACTTCCCTGGGGTTCTTCCTCTCCCATTTGGGGAAGTGACAGCATCCAAATTAATGCAGCCTCTTTTTGTTCCTTTAGGAGAGGTCCCCTTTAATCATGAGATCCTGCGGGAGGCCTATGCTCTGTGTCATTGCCTCCCAGTGCTCAGCACAGACAAGTTCAAGACAGACTTTTATGATGTGAGTGTAAAACCCAGACGGGGAGGTGGGGCTTATGCTGTCACTTTCACGTGCAGGACCAGGGACTGTTGTTCCCTGGGCATGCCACAAGGGATCCCCTGAAGAACTGGTCCTTTCTGTTCCCTCCCAGCAATGCAATGACGTGGGGCTCATGGCCTACCTCGGCACCATCACTAAAACGTGCAACACCATGAACCAGTTTGTGAACAAGTTCAACGTTCTCTATGACCGACAAGGCATTGGCAGGCGAATGCGCGGGCTCTTTTTCTGATGCGGGTACTTGAAGGGATGATGGACAGGGGTCAGGCAACTGTCCCAAAGGGGAGGGCACTGCACTCCCTTGAGAAACCGCTGTCATTTAATAATAAAAGGGGAACAGCCCCTGAGCACCCCTGCCGGTGGCTCTGTCCTCTCTCTTAGGCACCACACTGGTTTGTCAACTTGGATGTTCATCAAAACTCATTCCAGCCTTGCTCACAAGCCCTTCTGATGCTCTTCAATGAGGGAGGCACTGCCACTTGAAGTGACCCCATGTCAATCACATGGACTGTCTTTAGTGTCCAAGGCTGCCTGCTTCCAACTAAGCAGTCTCCATTCTACATTTTAATGTGACCCTCGACATCATATATGGTCCACCCTATAAACATGACAATTACTTTCCCGAGCTAAATTGTTTTCATACATGCAAAAAAAAGGAATAGTAAGATTTTTATTAGGAACAAGTCTAAGCCTTAATCCTGTGGGCACTGAATTACGAGAAGGGAGAATTTCTCAATGACTGTTTACTGCATACTTTGGAGATTTGGAGAGGCAGTCAGGAAGTGGTCTAAAGGTTGTGATTGCTGTATGTGATCACTTGTGCCCTGATTTTCATTACTCACTAACCAGAGGTTTAGAGTGGGAGTTGGGAACTAAGGGATTAAGTAATGACCTATCTGCTAGAAAAGGGGAAAAACTGAGAGACCCTGCATTTCATACTGGCCCCATATCTGCAGAACCTGACTGTCACATAGGCAGTATGAGACTAAGGGAGGCAGGGGCTCAAAAAGTGAAGCCCCAGTTCAATTATCTCCAAATAGCAGGGACCTCTTAGTTCTTGCTGCATTCCAGTGTATATACTGGGGCCCAGCAGGGACATGCAGTTTACTCCATTTACTGAGTGGAAACATAAGAAGGAACAAGGTATGAATCTAAAAAATGCAGAATACCCTGTTTTAATAGAAGTCAGGCCCAGGTTAGAAGGTTGCAATCTACAAATACTTTATTGGCAAAAGGAGTAAGTGCAGCATGAGAGAGAGGCTCTTCCTTCCCAAGGGGCAGGCCAACACGAAACAAGTGGACCCAGGGTCGCAAGCAGGCTGGAATCAGACAAAAGTGATCCGCGTCCGGGAAGCATTGACCTGCCAGACATTGAGCTCCTCATACTCATCCAGAGCTGCCTGGAACTGAGCAGGCGTGAAGCCACGAGATATGCAGCGCTGCTCTGCCTCAGAGAACCGGACACTTCGGCCCCCTGAGACTAGTTCACGGACAGTGGCAAATATCACATCTGCTGGTCTCTGAGTCCTGAAGGAAATGAGTGGGTGTGTAAGGTCAGGATGCAAACAGGAATGCCCGACATCAACAGAGAACAATGGTGGTCAGTGTCAGAATGAGGCCAACCTCAGACATGTGGACATAGAAGCCACAAAGTGATTTGCTCAAGAAAGCCAAGGTGACTCAACTTTGTCCTTCACTAAACCACTCACCTAGCTGTCTGCCCCTTGTCGCCTAGAAGTGAGTCCTTTGACATCTCCATTAACCTGATGGCTTCATTCACATCTTCCTTTTCCACCACGTCCACCATTCGCAGACGTGCCTAAGGGGAAGGTAGGGGAGAGATGGGAACAGGAGGAGGGCAATGGAACAAGGTCAGGGAACACCCTTGTTCTGGCTGGGCAGCCCATGGGTCACCTACTCACAAAACAGGAGTGGAGCCCCTCCCTTCCCCCCAGCATCCGCAGTGTTGGGCCGGCACTGTCAGACCGAGACAAGTGCAATGCCCAGGGCAGCGTCCAGCAATTGCCCAAGTCTCCGCCTCTCAACACTGGCCAGTCCCGGAGTTCAGCTGTCCTATGAGGGAGACCAGACACTTTTGAACTCCACTGGGCTCCCCACCATGACAGATGGAGCTTGGGGAGCTCAGCCAAGAAGACAACTGGCAGAGAGAACGTGTCCCGGGGGCTCGGGAAGTGCTAGCTCAGCAGTAGGTCGGGTAATCACACTACCTGCACGAACAGCACTTTGGAGCCCCCAGGACTGAGGTCCAAGACGGGAGGACAGAAAGGAAAGTTTGCAGCACAGGATCTAGGACACGGGGAGTGAAACGGACCCCAACCACCCCCTCAGTGGGGGTTAAGAAGTGGGGAAAAGGCCTTTCCCTCTGCAGATGCTGTGCGTGCCCTGCTGGAGCAGCAAGTACCCACAGTGCGGTAGCACGGAGAGGACCACTATCTGCACTGTCAGCACTTTAGCCCCGGCAGGGCTGGAGCAGGAGGGAGGCAGCGATGAGAGCATGGTAAGGAATGGCCCTTTTAAGGGTCAAAACAGATGGCCCTCCAGCAGTTTGGGCACTTACCAGAGCAGTGGAAAGGCGCAGGATTGCCAGCAGCGTCCGAGCAGAAGTATAGGTGGCATCCTTACTAGCCCAAGCCTCGCGCCTCATCTCCACGTATGCTGCCGTGATGTAGTCAGCCAGAGACTCTGGCACCGTGGGCTGTTTCTCTCGGCACATGGCTATGTAACGCCTGTGGGAGAAGGTTTGTGGGGAAGCAGAAGAGGGAGATGGGGAAGGGAGTGAATACGAACCCATTTTTTTTTTCTGCACCAGGGACCCCCATTTAACGAAGTCCCCTCCAGGAATTTTAAGTAGAAAAAACAAATTAGTGGATGATTATTTGCTTAGCTACCATTGATGGATTTATCCAAATCTACAGCCCCCGCCCGCCGCCTGTATTCTCCAAATTATTTCCATTTTTTCCCCTTGGAAAATGGCCTTTGTAATAGTAAGACAAATCCATCTGTCATTAAGAGATGATCCACTCCCCTCCACTGAGTGCATGACATGGCAAAACAGATATAGCTTGGGATGAGACTCCAGTCTAAACATGAGTCTATATTTCATATACAACTAATACACATAACTTAAATGTAAATTTATGAAAAATAGTTTTAAGGGCTAGGCACAGTGGCTCACGCCTGTTATCCCAGCACTTTGGGAGGCTGAGGTGGGCAGATCACAAGGTCAGAAGATCAAGATCATCCTGGCCAACATGGTGAAACCCTGTCGCTACTAAAATGCAAAAAACTAGCTGTGCGTGGTGGCAGGCATCTGTAGTCCCAGCTACTCAAGAGACTGAGGCAGGGGGAATCACTTGAACCTCAGGAGGCAGAGGTTGCAGTGAGCCAAGACCACACCACTGCACTCCAGCCTGGCGGCAGAGCAACTCTGTTTCAAAAATTTAAAAAATTTGTGTGCAGGGAATCAAGTTTCCTTTCACGTAAGTGTGGAATTTCCACTTAAGTTATTCTCATTTGACAAGGTTCCAAGGGGACCCTGACTATTCTCAGGCTCTGGACATGTCAGAAGCAGAAGTGGTGGTGTGAAAAACACCCTAAAACTAAACCCTTTTCAGGAGGCTCGTGTGGCCCATGCTGACAATGTGTGCCCATCTGCACCCAGCTCTCCTACCTCATGAGCTTCATGTCCAGAGGTTCAAACTGGGAGGGGGGCTGCCGGCTGTGCTGGTGCACGTAGGTGATGTGCTGGGCCAACCTGGATAGAGGGGAGGCGAGGAGGAACACCCTTTACAGGGCTACATACCCATGTCCTCTTAGATATCCCTCCCTTGGCTCCACCCATCTCATGGTATAGCAGGAACAAGCTTTCCTGGGAAATCCTCATCAGCATTTCAGCCCCAACCCACCATTTCCCTGAGAACCTTGGACCAGCCCCGGATGTAGAGGGGAGGCTCTGGGATTTCCAGGAGCTGGGTATTTATTTTCTGATTCACCACCTGCCACAGAGCATTACAGGGGACCTCTCTTTGGGTGTTGAGCTTCATTCACCGTAGGTCATTGTCACGGTCAGGCCGGTCCTGAATTAGCCAGAGGAGGTCAAACCGGGAAAGCAGTGCAGCAGGCAGCTGTATGTTCTGCTCCAGGCTGCGGCGAGGGTTGTAGCGCCCGTAGGCAGGGTTGGCAGCAGCCAGGATAGAACAGCGGGCATTGAGTGTGGTGAGGATGCCAGCCTTGGCGATAGAAATGGTCTGCTGCTCCATGACCTCGTGGATGGCTGTGCGGTCGGCCTCAGCCATCTTGTCAAACTCATCAATGCAGCACACACCCTGGTCAGCCAGCACCAGGGCCCCACCCTCTAAAGTCAGTTCTCCACTCACGGAGTCTCTCAGCACAGCTGCTGTAAGCCCCACTCCCGAGGAGCCCCGGCCTGTTGTGTACTGGCCTGGAAGAGAAAAAATAAGGAGCCATGTTAAGAAATAGAAAAGAACGAGAAAGAAAGCAAGCAAAGGACAAGAAACAAGCCAGAGGGGAGGCTGAGCTGGGATTGTTCCACCCGCCCCAGGCCTTCCCCGGGATGCCCAAGGTTCTGTGGGGGCACTGGCAACCTCCCCCCGCTTCCCCTGCCACCAGTTCTCTCCAGAGCACAATTGTGGCTAAAACCCTGGCTCCTGGGCTCAAGCCATCCTCAGGCCTCAGTCTCCCAAGTAGTTGAGACTATAGGCACTGATTACCACACCCAACTGATTTCTAAAACTTTCTAGTAGAGGCCAGGCGTGGTGGCTCATGAGGTCAAGAGTTCAAGACCAGCCTGGCCAACGCAGGGAAACCCATCTCTACTAAAAATACAAAAATCAGCTGGGTGCAGTAGCAAGAGCACTCCTGGCCCCAAATGATTCTCCTGCCTCAGCCTCAGAGAACTGAGATTACAGGTGTAAGCCACTGTGCACCCCCACTTTTTAAATAAACACTGTCACTATGTTCACCTCTCTCAAAGTCCAACTACTTACTGCGGGGGGCCAGGCGATCGATGTATGACAGGAGCTGAGACTTGGCCACACCAGGATCCCCCATCAGACAGATGTTGATGTTGCCTGGAGGAAGGCAGGCAGCACCGGAATGACTCTTCTCCCAGTGCAAGTTGGCCAACAGCAGAGCAATTTTGAGTTCTGCCTCCACCCCACACCTAGAATTACTTCTAAGCCCTCCCTGTGTCCGTGAAGCGAAGATGCCCACTTTTATACTGGGACTTATGGGGACATTTGTCATCTTTTTTCCTCCCAAATGACTTCATCTACCCTGAGCCTTTCCCTTTTTTCTTCTTACCCCTGATTTTCATGCCCCGAGGAGACTGGTCCACACCCCCCACTAGCAGGAGCAGCAGTGCCTTCTGCACATCACCTGCAATCTGCCTCAGCTCTTCCCTGCTGAGCTCTCCAGCCCCAGACTCATCGTCCTCACTCTTGTTCATCTTCACAATCCGATGGGCTTCCAGGTAGGTTTCTGAGAGTAAACCCTTAGGCGAGAAAATGTCAGGATACTGACGCAATCCTTAGAACTTACCCATCACCAGATTCCCTAACAATTTATTGATAAAGCACCGTGTTGTGTTTTGCTGCTCATTTTTCTCTGCGCAGGTACAGTGGGTGAGGGGAAACTGAACGATCTGTTCCTCACATCAAACTCCCTTCCTTACCTGTACCACCTGTCGGAACCCAGTGCGCAGGACGGGCAGGAAGATACCAGTGACACTGACATGGTCTCCAGGCTGGGCGATCCTTGTGTTCTCTCCTTCTACCAGCACCGTGATACTACGAGGGATATTTCCCACGGGTACTTGGTCACTCTAGGAGAGGGAAGGGCACATAAGGCCAGAAGAAATGGACAAGGACCCAACCTTCCCTCCCTAGGCATCCCACGCCAAGACTCCCACCCTGCCCAGCCACAGATAAGCCCACAGAATGGAAGCCGAGACTGCCTTTCCCCTTCCCAAGGCTCTCAAGAAATTCCAGTTCCACCTCACTCCTGCACTTCCCTCTTTTGTTCTTCTTTCTTCCTGCCACTCCACCAGTGACTACAGGATTCAAGTGGACTTCTGATCCACCTGCCCAGGGCCACGTACCCCAAACTCACATGTTCTTGCATCTTCATCTCCTGGAATTTGATGAATTTGGAGCCCCGTGTCTGCAGATACAGCCGCCCTCCTGAGCGGTTGGTTTGGCACTCCTGGCTTGGACACATGATCAGAGGCATGAAAGTGGGAGACTGAATCTAGGATTGAGAACAGAAACACCAAAGGAAGTCAGCAAAGGAAGTCAGAAGAAAAAGAGTCCCATCTCGTTGGTCTCTTGAATCACATTTTCTCTTCCCGGCAGACATCTTTGAATCCAGAACCCTTTGAGCTTATTCTGGGTCAACAGCAGACACCCAGAAAATAGGTAGAAAGACCACCACATACGCAAGAAAAAGGAAAGGTGAACACACAGGTAGCTTTTACAACCAGAAAAAACGATAGGCATCATAGATCATATCAATTTCTTCAAAATGACTAAACATGAAGTGCTTTCCTGCTCCTTGATCCACACGTACCGGCTGGTAGGTCTCTGCCCCGCACTGGTCACAAGTGTAAGTGGCCACCACCATCTTGGGTTTGACTTCAGAGACACGAATGACGATTCCACGCACAGTCACCAATTTCCCCACGGAGTCAGCCCGCACATCCCGGATCACACGAGGCTTGTTGCTGCTTGGGCCTTGAAAATACAGCTCACTAAGAGGAGAAAACAGTCACAAACAAGATTCTGGAGAACCAATCCCTACATCCTTCCTAACAGAGACCACTCACAATCTGCGCATGAGTTCAGCGGGATACTGGTTCTGGGGGCTTCGGGCCGTCACAGGGTCCCGAGTCCGCTGCTCCATCATAAGCCGATGCTCAATATAAACATCCAAGACATCTTTATTTACCACCTAAAGAAGAAGAACAGAAAAAATGAGCAACAAGATGGGGAAAGGAAAGCACAGACAATGCCAGGCAGAAGTGCCCCTGCTTTCTGCCTGGCTCAGAAAACATCAGTATTTGAGCAACTTCTTAACAGAAGCTGAAATGCCTTGCCCTGCATTGTTCTCCAGTCACTCACCTCCCTCTCCTTGTACTGAGGCAGCAGCTCTTGTACCGCATCAGCAAAGAGCTTTGCGTAGCGCCTGGCATTCTCACAAATTGAGTCCACCAACTCAGGGTCATCCTCAGCTACATCATCCAGGTCCACATACAGAGCCACCTGTTCCCTATGAGCCAGCCGAACCTCAGGTGGGGAAGAGACAGCAACACCTCAGAGCCACGTTCACTTGTTCACCAGTGTTCACGCATGAAGATGCTTCACTGAGAGCTCAGCACGGGCTCTGGGCATCCACAGGGGAGAACACAGCACCTCAGAGAGTGATACGTCTCAGCCCCCAAACTCTCTAATTATTATGAATATACTATAGCATCACATTCACTTACCAGATATCAAATGCCCTGCTAAACATGTCAGAAGAACGTCCTTGATGAAACAAGCCGCTTCTTAGGACTTCTTAAGCACCCCACTCCTCACTCCCTTTACCCAATCTTAGACTTACCAATTGGTTCCCATACTTGAACTGCTTCTTCCCAAGTTCATCATCCTGGTAGAACTCTTGTAAGAACTTCTTAACCTTTTCTGTAAGGTAAAATGTAAAATCATAAGACACGAGCTTTAAATTACTGCCCATCCCTCTGATAGAAATCTAAGACACCTATTTTCACTTAAAACACGACCTATAAACTAGTTAACGATATGAACATTTAAATAAACCTACCGAATTCTCCCCAAAGTGGGCATAACTTTTTTTCACAAGTTTCTTTTTAATCAGCGAAGAATAAAGAGGCTGTGGCTGTTCACAGGGCGATCCAACACCTTCTTCCCCAGGGAATTCCGGTCCCTACTTTAGTTTAACTAAAACCCTAGCGCCCTTCCTCACTGGCGCCCCACACTCCGATCTCAAGGTTGTCAGCTTTCCTTCCATCCCTATGATCCCCCACTTTCTTTGAGTCTCCTGAGCCCCTTATCTCGCCAGGACCTCCGCCACTAGGCTGGTCGCGCACCCCACCCCCGCTCCCGCCAGCGCTTCCGCTCTTAGTAAACAAAGAAGCACATGGGCCCTGATTCCAACCGCCTCACAGCCCGGGATTCCTCCGCCCAGGGCGGGAGCCCGTCCAGCCATTGGACAACACGCCCGGGGCCGCCGCGATCCCAGCCCACTGCCGCCTTTCCCCGGCACGAGAGAAGCTCCCGGTTCCCAGGCGCGCCCCCTTCCCCGGGCCGCAGCTCTCTCCGAGGCCGCCGCGCGGAAGGACACTGTTTACACGACACTCCCTCCATCCGCCTGGCGCCACTTCCGCCCAGCTCCACTTCCGCTCGGAGGGCAGCCTCAAACGGCCAATCCCGGCGCGCAGCGGCCCCGACCTGCCCGCCCCCAGGGCCTTCGCGCGCCTAGGGAGGACGCGGGAACCGGGGAATGCCCAAAAGCGCTGAGGGAAGCAGGCCCAGATCCCCAGAGTCCTTAGGGTCCCCCGAGGTCTTGGGCGCGATCCTCCTCTATGCAGCACCCCCCAGACAGGTTAGCGCCCCCCCAAGCCCCCAACTCCACGACCCTAACACCTTTACTACGTGGGATTACCAGCTTTTCTTCAACATGGATGCCATCTGCGCCCCTCCCAGGCCTCGTGGGCCTCAGTCGGGCCACCGCCCGACCCTGACTCTAGCCTCGTGCGCCCCAGAACTCGCTGATCCCTGCTCCACAAGACCCCAGCTCACACCAACAGGTGTTCCCCGGGAGGCTCCCCAGGCAGGACGCCCTCGCAGGCTCGTAGACCAGTACCTTTCTCGAGCACGTAGTCCTTCAGTGCCATCGCTGCCGAGGCCCGTACAGCAGTGCTTGGCGGACTCAGAAGTCTGGGTCCCGGGGAAGCTGAGAACGTCCGCGCGGTGGACTGTGGCCGACCAACCGAAATTGGCGCGAAACGTCCCCCCCACGTGATCGGCGCCACTGCCTGCCGGCCAATCGCACAGACCGGCCCTCTCCCCGCCTCCAGCTAGGCTCAAGCCAATCACCAGGCGGGTCTGGAATGAGTGACGGGGAGGCGGTGTGGGCGTCGGGAGGGAATCGATGGGCTCTGCTGGGCGGGCGCCGGGTTTCCCGCGGTCCGAGCTGGCGTGGGCGGAGGAGAATCGCTCTTAAAGGGCCAGCGCACGCGTGTTCTTTTGTTCCGGGGCCTCAGGGCGGGGCAGGCCCGACTTTCGCCGTCTTCTCGTTTACTCTCCAGAACGGCCATGATTTCCCAGTTCTTCATTCTGTCCTCCAAGGGGGACCCGCTCATCTACAAAGACTGTATCCTAGACCCGCGGGGCTGGGAAGGGGCGGAGGGGCCGGGCGGGAGGGGCTCCCGGGGCCAGCCCGTGTCGCAGGCTTCTTCACTGAGTTCTTCCACCCGCCAGTCCGTGGGGACAGCGGCGGCCGGGATGTGGCCGAGCTCTTCTACCGGAAGCTGACGGGACTGCCAGGAGACGAGTCCCCGGTTGTCATGGTAACCACTGGCGGGAGGCGGGTGGGGAGCGGGGCGCCGGCGGGCCTGGTGGGCGCCGGCTCCCTCCCAGGGCCGATTCCTTGGTAGCTTCCACTTGGGGTGGGATGCATTCTTCCAAATAAAACCAACAAGAGGCCTGGCGCGGTGGCTCATGCCTGTAATCCCAGCACTTTGGGAGGCGGAGGCGGGCGGATCACCTGAGGTCAGGAGTTCGAAACCAGCCTGGCCAACATGGTGAAAGCCCCCCCCCCGCCTCTACTAAAAATACAAAAAAAATTAGCCAGGAATGGTGGTGGGCGCCTGTAATCCCAGTTACTAGGGAGGCTGAGCCAGGAGACTCGCTTGAACCTGGGAGGCAGAGGTTGCAGTGAGCCGAGATCGCAACACTGCACTCCAGCTCGGGCAACAGAGGACTACATCGGGCGGGGGTGGGGGGGTGGCACAAAAAAAACTTACAGTCTATCAGGTGCCAGGAACACACCAGACCCAGCTCCTTTTATGATTCCATTTTCAGCAACTAGGGGTAGATACTGTAATTAACCCCGTTTCTACATTGGGAAGCTGGGTTCAGGGACCTGTCATGTATCTCTCAAAGTCACTGCTACTGTGACTAGCAAGAGGCATCGGGATCCGAGCTCAGGTCTCCTGGGTTCTGATCACCCCACCTCCCTTTTCCTAATGCTCTTCTACCTGCCTGTGTCTCAGCATCATGAGGGCCGTCATTTCATTCACATCAGACACAGCGGCCTCTATTTGGTGGTCACAACTTCAGAAAACGTTTCTCCGTTCGGCCTCCTAGAACTGCTCTCCAGGTGAGGAGGGCTGAGCTGGCCACCTGGTAGCTAGCGGGGGTCTAAGAGGAGGAGGAAATGCATACTCCCAAGTGTCTCTTCAGGTTGGCCACCCTTCTGGGCGATTACTGTGGCTCTCTGGGTGAGGGGACCATCTCCCGCAACGTGGCTCTGGTCTACGAACTCCTGGATGAAGTGCTGGTGAGAATCAATGATCCCCTTCTGTGTCCCCCCACCAATTCCCCTGGAGATACTTCTGTTCTTCTACTGCCTGATGCTGTGGTTGGGAGGCCAAGTCTACTCCTTTTTTTTTTTATCTTTTAGAGATAGGGTCTTGTTCTGTCACCCAGGCTAGAGTGCAGTGGTGCAATCATAGCTCACTGTAGCCTGGAACTCCTGGGCTCAAGTAATCCTCCTGCCTCAGCCTCCCTTGTGCCCACCTAATTGTTTATTTTTTATGGAGACAGGAGTCTCGCTCTGTCACCCAGGCTGGAGTGCAGTGGCTGGATCTCCGGTCACCACAACCTCTGCCTCTCGAGTTCAAGTGATTTTTCTGCCTTAGCCTCCTGAGTAGCTGGGACTACAGGCACATGCCACCTGCCTGGCTAATTTTTTGTATTTTTAGTATAAATGGGGTTTCACTATGTTGGTCAGGCTGGTCTGGAACTCCTGACCTCGTGATCCGCCTGCCTTGGCCTCACAAAGTGCTGGGATTACAGGGGTGAGCCACTGCACCCAGCCCCCACTCCGCCTTTTTTACCCCTTCCCCCCACTGGCTTATCAGACTGTCCTTCCTTTACCGCTAGGATTATGGCTATGTACAGACCACATCTACGGAGATGCTGAGGAATTTCATCCAGACGGAAGCTGTGGTCAGCAAGCCCTTCAGCCTCTTTGATCTCAGCAGCGTTGGCTTGGTCAGTAGAGAGAAAGAGGAGGGTGAGGAAGGAGAAGGGGTATTGGCTGGGGTTGTCAGACCTGAGGATTGATTATTTTGGATACTTTACAGTTTGGGGCTGAGACACAACAGAGCAAAGTGGCCCCCAGCAGTGCAGCCAGCCGCCCCGTTCTGTCCAGTCGCTCTGACCAGGTGAGGGAGGGATCCATGGGGTCTGACCTTGTGGTTTTGCTCTGGGACCCCGGAGTCCAAGATCTTAGGCTGGGCGCAGTGGCTCATGCCTGTAATCCCAGCATTTGGGGAGGCTGAGGCGGGCAGATCACCTGACATCAGGAGTTTGAGAGCACCCTGGTCAACATGGTGAAACCCCATCTCTATTAAAAATGCAAAAAGAAAAAAAAAAGATCTTGGTACGTCTTCTACCTCCCCTAGTTGTGGGTATCCCTTCTGGCACTTGTGTCCCCACTCCAGAGCTGTAGCTTTGACCATTCTGTCCTTTCTTCTCGTCTGTCCATTTCAGAACATAGACTGTTCTGCTTCTAACCACCCAAATCTTCCCTCTTTCTCAGAGCCAGAAGAATGAAGTTTTTTTGGATGTGGTTGAGAGATTATCTGTACTGATAGCATCTAATGTAAGTTTGAGTTCCCATCCCTGGAGCTGAGGACAAATGAGATTTGGGACATGTGTTGGGGTGGCTAAGACTCCAACAGTGGCCGGGCACGGTGGCTCATGCTTGTAATCCCAGCGCTTTGGGAGGTGGAGGTGGGAGAATTACTTGGGGCCAGGAATTTGAAACTAGCCTGGGCAACATAACCAGACCCTGTCTCTACAAAAAATACAAATAAATTACCCAGGCATGGTAGTGTACACCTGCTCTCCCAGCTACTTGGGAGGCTGAGGCAGGATGATCACTTGAGCCCAGGAGATTGAGGCCTCAGTGAGTCAAGATGGCACTAATGCATTCTAGCCTGGGTGAGAGAGCAAGACGCTGTCTCTTTCAAGAAAGAAGTCAGCATGGTGGCTCATGCCTGTAATCCCAGTACTTTGGGAGGCCGAGGTTGTGGATCACTTGAGGTCAGGAGTTTGAGACCAGCCTGGCCAACATGGTGAAACTCCATCTCTACTGAAAATACAAAAATTAGCCAAGCGTGGTTGCAGGCACCTGTAATCCCAGCTAGTTGGGAGGCTGCAAGGAGAATCACTTGAACCTGGTAGGCAGAGGTTGCAGTGAGCTAAGATTGTGCCATTGCACTCCAGCCTGGGTGACAGACCAAGAATCTGTCTCAAAAAAAGAAAGAAAAACTCCAGCCTTGATCTCTCTGCCTCTAAGGGCTCCCTACTGAAGGTGGACGTGCAGGGAGAGATTCGGCTCAAGAGCTTCCTTCCCAGTGGCTCTGGTGAGGCATCTGCAGGCGGGACCCGGGTTGGGGTTGGGGCAGGTTTCTTGGTGTCTTACACCGTGGAGTTTGCGAGCTCTTCTAATGTTCTTTCCTCTGCTAGAGATGCGCATTGGCTTGACGGAAGAGTTTTGTGTGGGGAAGTCAGAGCTGAGAGGTGAGAAAGGGTCTCTGTCTCCCTGGGGTAGGTCATTGCCACAGAGTTCATGGAAAGAAGTCAGAGACGGATCTTCCCCCTCCTTTCTCCTCTCTCAAAACATGAGTCAGGAGAGAAGTCTCTCTTTTTCCAGGTTATGGGCCAGGAATTCGGGTCGATGAAGTCTCATTTCACAGCTTCGTTAATCTGGACGAGTTTGAGTCTCATCGAATCCTTCGCTTGCAGCCACCTCAGGGCGAGGTCAGGATTGGGGTGGCCTTGTAAATTCCGTCCTCCATGGGGAAGAGGTCAGTGTGGGGTTGAGGAGATGAAACTGACCCTGTTGCTCCCTGGTTTCTCAGCTGACTGTGATGCGGTATCAGCTCTCCGACGACCTCCCCTCACCACTCCCCTTCCGGCTCTTCCCCTCTGTGCAGTGGGACCGAGGCTCAGGCCGGTGAGACCATTTCCTGGGTTCCAGAAGTACCTTGGAGCCCAAGCCAAGATGTGTATGTTCCCAAAACTCACTGCAGAATGGGAGTGGTGGGAGAGGTGATGAAGTGCAGATTGGAAAAAGGCTTGGGCTGGGCAT